TTTTGTGGCAGTCACCTGCAAAAAATAGCATGCGTTTTCTGAGGTGTTGCAAAACATGCATTGTTCAGGTATGAAGCTTGTTTATCTGCAGTTCATTTGAACGTACGAAGTTGTCCTGTGTCATTACTTTGCGTTTTCCCTCGCTGCTCTCTTTACAGTAACAAAGGCATATGCAATAGGCATTCCTTCCTTTTTTCCCCACTTTTTCTAGCAAAAGCTACTTTTTCACCCAAGGGTATCATAGGTGAATCACATGGCGAAAATGCTTCTGTTTCTTTCTCAAAATACCTAAGCACCCATTTTGATTGAAAAAAAGATGGCCACGGAGAGCCTATCCACTTTGGATGTGACTGATGGAAGACATTAAGTGTGCCTTCTGGCTACCTCCAGAGATGACAGGTGTCCACAGGTGTCCAAGATATGTAAACTATAAACGATAAGATTTTATATCTAACCAACATGTCACTGACACAGGAGACCTATCTCTTCCAAGAATTGCTCATGTTAGCTATGTAATTGTATTGGGGCTACCACACAGCTCTATATTTCATGTACCCTGGGCTGAATGTTGAGTTCCACTTAAGGACCTCCTTAAGGGTGGACAAGAATGCAGTTACATCGATGCAGGTGTCCTCACCAATCAGTCCTCAATGTAATTTATCTATTAAATGTGTCTCATCTTGTTCCTACGGCAAAACCTGGACTTGGGTCCATCGGTTAGTTTCCTCCTGAACAGAGAGAGAAGAGCTGAAAAGCCAACAGTTTGCATAGAAAGGGAACGTTCAAGTGATTCAAGAGATCCCTTGTTCAACTTAAGACAGCCTTATTTCAGTATCTTTAATAAGAGTCACCCTACTGCTGCTGCATAGGTTCTAAGGATCTAGAATTTGTCATAGCAGCTACTGAACATGCCATTTGGTGCCTATTTTTGAGGGAATGAGGCAGCCATGGACATGGGATCCATTACTTGGCTCTTTACCTTTTTCTGGGCTGCTTGTCTCAATTTTATTCTAGGAATATAACCAATACTACATCCCATGTACTAAAAGGATGCTTTGATGTGTAGATTTGAGCCCTTCTAGAATAATGCTGCAAGACTTCTCAAAACCAATAACATTATATTTATACTTTGGGCCCTCATTTACTCTCTTGCCACGTTTGGCAAAAGTTTTGTTGTTTTCAAGCCTTTTCCTATTTTCAAAAAACATTCAGGCACCATTTTTAGGTGTTAAAGCAGTTCTTGAAATAAGTGTGACTGATCTCATAACACTGTTCTCATAGCACAACAAGAAGCCTGTAAGGTTGTTGCTAAAATGGGATGGTTACTAATAGAGTTTTTTGACAAGTTCAGAGTCAGGTTGTACTCTACAGGCATATAAAGTGGGGAGGCTCTAATCGACCCAAATTTCTGATAGCCATGATTGGGACTGAGACAACCAGGGACGTGAACACAGCACCTCTGTGCTAATAATTAAAACAGCCCCTCTTTTTTCAGGCTTCTGCGTGAGCCTGAAACATACACGTGGCTGCTTTAAAAAGCTGGCTCATTAAAGTCAACGTGGCTCTTTTTCTCCTGACCTGAAAAATCCACCTGATTTTCTTGAACTTCTGCATCTATCATATTGGTAACGGTTGAAGATAAGATTTGCAGTCGTCTAATATTTGATTAAATTATGGATGGCCACTTTTTGCCTCCTCTTTTTAACTGCTACCCATGGCAATTTTTATTAGATATCAGCAGTTAGATCCATTGTGTTGGTTTTGAAAGTTTATTGCTTTCTCACTGTGTGTGTGTGTCAATCAGTTAATCACCAGTGTCTGAATTGCTACCGCCCTGGATCTAACATGTCCTTAAGGTGAGGCAAGCAAAAACATGATTAGCTGAACCGTCAGCCTTTTGTGTTATATTCATCCTATATTAGGAGGTTTGGAACAATTGCACTGAGTGTGTAAGGTTACTTTTGCCTTGTCATCCCAAGCACACCCTGTTCCTGGAGCTTAGGATGTGCGTGTTATAACTATAAAGTTATAAAAAGTTGCAATTTCTTGTCCTGCAGGCCTGTGCTTTCAAACAGTCTAGTAGTCTAGCAAAGTTGGAGAGAATTGATAGCAGCAACCAAGCTTCCATGAGCTGGTATGAGCCAGTATGAACCTTGATTTAAAAAACAAAAATTGACACATGGCCCAAGATGCAATGCAGTGTGTGGTGTTTCTGTGGAAGCCAAGCTGTAAGTATTCTCTGCAGATCAAAGACTTAAAAAGAAATCTGTCCGAGCCTGTTATGGAAAAAAAGAGAGAGAAACACAGAAGTGGTAGAAGACATAGAAGTCCCCAAAGATTTCTAAATGTGCTTCCGTAGAGTGAAGAGATGGGCTGTGCGATGGTGCAATAAGGAAGGTGGGTGCTGTTGTAGCTTTTTTTTGTAGCAAATGAACTGATGGATCGTGTCTGTTTCTGCATGAGAGAAACGTGTTAGGGGTATGAGAGGCATTCAAGAAGAAAGCTGTCGTTTTCTGCTGTGGGAGAGCTGGATGGGCTGAAGGACTGGGCCCAAATGCTCATCTGCGTGGAATGCACTCAAGAGTAACTCTTCAGTTGCATAATTAAACCCATCATAGTTGTTTTTACGTTACTTCCTCCCTTGGGAGCTGTTCTTTTATGAAAGGTGGGGGGAAGCCATCAAAGATTGCTAGCATCACCAAAGAACTACAACTTTTGAACGTTTATGTGCTGAACCATTTTATTTTCAAATTAATGTCTTTTGGTTAATTACAACTCAGTGTATATTAGGAAAACTAAGCAATATCATTATATTGTACAACATGGACAGTTCTGTAAATGTAAAGTCAGGAATAAGTCTAGCTTAGTTGACAAGAACTTATTCTGAAATATACATGCATGGAATTGTATCCTTTAATCACAATTTTATGTGCGTGTGTATACATGCATACATCGATTGATTGATTATTGTTATCAAGTCGTTTTTGACTCTGACTTCAAATTGACATCAAGTCGCCATCAAGTCATCATTTTCTCCATGACGATCTGTCCCTAACCTGGTCTTTCAGGTCTTCCAATGGTGCACTCATCACCACTGTAACTGAATCCATCAAGCTTGCTGCTGGTCATCCTCTTCTTCTCTTTCCTTCCACCCTTCCCAGCATTAGAGCCTTCTCATAGAGTGCGTACATACCTATAGTCTTAAACATTAGTCACATTTGGTTCAGCGAGTGCCAGGTTCAGGTAAGTGTGTAATTTCCAAAATTCCCAGGATGAATCCAACTTATAATAGGAATTAATAGATAATATATTTTCCATTTCAATTACAGTTATGTAATTTTCGATTGGATTTAAAGGACTTAAGGAAATAGTCTCTTTAGGTGATAATGCATATTACTTTACTTAATAATAAGCCCGCTTAGTGGGTATTCTGCTAGTGTTTTGCCCCAAACTCCCATTCCAATCTACTGTATTTTGAAATTTGGCTTCTGCCTCTAGTGAAGCACAAGATGGATCTGAGCAACTGTGGGATGTAGCAAGTCCCAAAAGAAGTCCGATCCTATCCCAAGCACTTTTGAAGGTATCACCAACGATACCATACAGTTGGAAGGCATTTTCACGTGTGACATTATATCATGTCATTTTTAATCCAGGAACTGTTTTTAATATGGTCTAGAAAACAGAAGCACCATTTTATATCCAGTGTATGTTCTGGTCAATTACAATGCTTGGAATGTCCATGTAAAACACGGTTAAAAGCCAACTGTACCAGTGTCATATATATCATGCAAATACTGCGAACATCTCTTCAACAGCCTGTCCATATGAAATTATTCAAGGAGAAAGTACTATTAATGGCTCTTATTTATATTAGCCACCTTCTGAGAAGAGAAACCTTGAAATTCAAACTAAGATCTACCACCTATAAAGCAACTGATGATTGAACTAGAAACTGACCTTATGAAATTGAGTGAATTTGAAACTGACATTATGAACTTGAGTGAAAAAAATAGTAACAGAGAATTCCAGGCTTCCTGACTTTCATTATCCAGCCTTCTCCTCCCCTACCCTTCCATGAATAGAGAGGGAATTATCTGAAATTGCTACCTGGGATTTGTACTTTAAACCATTCTATTTTGCTACAGCTAATTGCATTTCCTGTTTGTTTTATGATAAAAACGTCCTTCGTTATACCTGCCCCAAAGAAGGAAGAAAACACGAATTCCCAATGAATTCTAGACAAAATATTCTTCGCTATTTTATTTTCTGCTGGTTCAATTTAACTATAAGGAGATGTGGTTCTCTTGGTTTGATCATTCCAGAGTTTAATGGTGGCCCCTTTCTGTATTGGTTTATTTCTTCCTTTTCTTTAAAAGAGCAGCCTTATGATTGTGAAGGATATTCTTTCTATTTATATCAACAAAAACCAACCAACCAAGGGTTGTTTGTCATGCATTGAAAGTATATTCAATACAGTACAAGTAGTTGAGCAGGATGTCAACACGTAACTAATCTTGGCTGTTTTCCCAGAAGATGCCTGCGATCTTATCTGCTTGACTCAGCCAAGTCATGTCATTGTATGTCACCGTTCTGGATTTTGACATTTATATATATATATTTCTTCTTCTAATTTCTGGGCTATTGACTAACGTCGAAAGAAGCGTGCACCTGTGCTTAGTTTGCACTTGGGGAGATAACAGTTTTGGGATGAAGGCATCGCCAGGATCCTGTAATAGGTAGCACGTTAGAAAGATGGACGTCTTCTTTTACTTACCCAACTTTTGTGGTGTTTGGGGTTTCTTTTGCTGCCTTTTAATTCCTCTTTTTCAAAACTGCCTCTTGAAAAACTCATTGTTGACGTTGCTATGAATGTAAACCCAAGCCTCGATTCATTATTTATTTATTAAATGAAGGTACATGCCCGCCCCTCTACCCAAAGGAGGTCTGGAGAGCAAATAAGAAAAAGATTACCATTACAATAGTTGTGAAATATGGCTTTATTTCATCAATGACTTGGGGTAATCTTCTCTGGTTCAGGAAATATTCAAGTCTAATTTTTTAAAATCAAGCAGTATCTCCTAGCACATCGCAACTTTTCTGCACGCTGGGTTTGGTGGTACTTTGGTTTCTCTGCATGCGCTTCCAATGTTAGTCCTCCCTACCAACATTGGTGCCATGTGAGGTGCCCTGGGATGAACTCAGTCTTGGATGAACTCCGCCCCTGAGGCTCGCAGGCCAGGCTGCACGAAGCCGGGCAGCCGTGGTGGCTTGTTCAATAACCCAGAGACAAAGAGAAAGAAGATAAATTATTTACTAGGGTATTTGACTGATTACATGCCATCAAGTTGTTATCAGCTGTAAGCCAAGTGCAACGGAATTTCATTTTATTATGCACTTGCTGTATAGCGCATAGCGGAATGACAATAAAGTTATTGTTCTCTTCTATTCCATCGACTTCTAATGACCACATAGATCAGTGTTGTCCAAGCTTGGCCACTTTAAGATGAGTGGACTTCAACTCCCAGAATTCCCCCCCCCACCCCTCTCTGTTGTGGGGATTTTGGGGGTTTGGTTGACTTCTTTTTCTCAATGTCAAACTGTATTACAACCAAAAAATAGTGGTAT